GCTTTTTCCCCTGGCAGCCTCTTCCTCTTCCTGTTACCAGTCAGACTCTGCTCTCTCTGAGCACATGGAAGTGAGGAACAAATTTGGAAACAACCTTGAAATTAAATATGGCTGTAACAATTTGCATATGGTACCCGCAGATTAGTTCATCCAGAGTTGATGCACGTTACCTTTTTTGAAACTCCTGCAAGTTTTAACAAAGGTGTTTCATAAACAGTTTTGAGCAGCACTTTTGCACTTACTTATATCTAGTACAAACAATGCATGGTATTAGTCCAAAGCCAAAAGGCTCATGATTTACAACATAGTTCACTGGGCTGGGTCTCACAAGCGTCAACAGCATTTTGAGCCCTGGTAAACCACAACATCACATAGAGTTCACCCAGAATCCCTCTGTTGTGCCCTCTCTCAGGCTGGCACATACGATTTAGTGAGACCCTAACAGCTCAGCACTGCTTGGTATGGGTGTATACTTTGGATGCTTCCTTCCCCCCCCACCACACTCACACTCTCTCTCTCTCTCTCTCTTCCCCCCCCACATGCTAATTAGTCCCCATTCATAACTGGAATGGGATGTTCTTGTCACAAGTCCTGAGATGATCCAAAAATTTCTGTGCAGATGAGGTGCAGGACAGCCTGGTCCATGTGGAAGCTGGGGCCACTCTATAATCACATGCACCAGGCTGAGAGAGGGCTCAACAGAGGGATTCTGGGTGAACTATATGCAATGTTGTGGTTTTCCATGCCTTGGAAAAGAGTTGGTTGCACTCAGTGGGCATCAACATATGTCTTATTAATATGTGTTGCACTGATCTTTCCTTGCAGCAGATTCCCATGAGTATTTTTGCCCAGTGTGGGCCATATGTTTTGTAGTCATGCTCAGTGTTGGCTGTATTAATCAACTTCATAGTTGGTTTCCATTGCTGAGCTTCTGCTTTGGCAGCAGTTTAATGATAGATAGTGTATTTAGTGAGATTTCCTTGTATGTGAATATAATATGAGGTGCTTTTTCCTCATGCCAATGGGGGGGGACACACCTCATTTTGTATTTGACTAAATATGGTAAACATCCCCTCTTGCGGTTCCTTAGTGTGAGAATTGAACTTGCATGTACCACATTTACTTGAATCCAAGTTGAGGTTGTTCCCCCCCATTTATGGGTGTGGAGATTGTCATCTTGGATTTGAGTACTCATCCAGAGCAGTCCACCTGCTTGAAGCACCACCTGCCTTGGGATAGGGACAGAGCTGCCAGCTGAGCCAGCCATGGAGTCGTCAGCTGCTGTGGTGGACCCAGATCCAGGGCCAGTGACATGGGTCAGGCAGTTGTGTGGGTCTAGGGGTGGACAGCTGGAACCGGGGCCAGAGCTGCTGCCACTGTTGCTGCCTGGCCAGGGCTCAGGCCAGAGCCACCATGTGCTCTGTGCTCTAGGCCAGAACTGCTGCATAGGGTAAATGGCAGTGGGGATGGGTGGGGGAGGAGTGGCAGGGGTCATGCACTGGGGACAAGGAAGGTGGGGGGGCAACAAGGGGCAGGAGTCAAGCCACTGCCCCCTACAACTGCTGCTTTCCCTGCCACTTGCCCTGCTGCTTTCCCTACCACAGTGTTAACTAATTTTGCCTACTGGTTTAAGGGTACTAGAGCCAGCTTCACACTTTAAAAACTTTATATAAAAATGTTATATAGCTGAAATGTTAGCAGACATTTCCTTTAAGAGACTAACAAAGCTTGGCACATAAGTGGGTGAAGGAGCTAAGTGCATTGGGATAAGCAGCATATTCTATCAAACCTGTTAGAAGATGTGTTAGAACTGCAAAACCACATGCATGTCTCTCTCTTTTCTCTCTCTCCTTTATTGGAATATTAATCCTAGGGAGTGATGATAACTTATTCTAACTTCTGGCATCAGTCATAGGGCCCACACAATGATTGCTTTATTTTTTACTATCATATTTTATTTTATATCTGCATTCATATATACATACTCCTCCTTGGGAGGAGTATAAGAATATTACTTGGACATGTAGAGATGAAATCAGGACGGCCGAAATGCAGTTGGAGTTGCAGCTACCAAGGGATGTAAAGGGTAACAAGAAGGGTTTCTACAAGTATGGCAGCAACAAGAAGATCAGGGGAAGTGTGGTTCCCCTACTAAATGGCAGAGGCAACCTAGCAACAGAGGATGCAGAAAAGGCTGAAGTGCTGAATGCATTTTTTAATTCAGCCTTCACTGGCAAGGTCAACTCCCAAGCTGCTGCACCTGGCAGCACAGTTTGAGTAGTGGGTGACAACCTGACAGTAGTGAAAGAACAGGTATGGGGCCATTTGGAAAAGCTGAATGTGCACAAGTCCGTGGAGCCAGATGGGATGCACCCAAAGGTACTAAGGGAGTTGGCCAATGTAATTGCAGAGCTGCTTGTCCTTATCTTTGAAAACTCTTGTTGATTAGGAGATGTCCTAGATAATTAGAAAAGGGCAAATAAAAGTAACAAGAGTGCCCGTCTTTAAGAAAGGGGAGGAGGATTTGAGGAACTACAGACCAGTCAACCTCATCAAAGTCCCTGGAAAAATCATGGAGCAGATCCTCAAGGAATCCATTTCTAAGCACTTGGAGGAAAAGATGATGATTAGCAACAGTCAGCATAGATTCACCAAGGGCAAGTCATGCCTGACCTACCTGATTGCCTTCTATGATGAGATGACTGGCTCTGTGGATGTGATATACTTGACTTTAGGATGGCTTTTGATACCATCTCCTACAACATTCTCACAAGCAAGCTAAGGAGGTATAGGTTAGATGAATGGAGTGTAAGATGAATAGAAAAGTGGCTAGATAGTTGGGCTCAAAGGGTGGTGATCAATGGCTTGATGTCTAGTTGGTAGTCATTATCAAGTGGAGTGCCCCAGAGGTTAGGCCTAGGGCCAGTTTTGTTCAGTATCTTCACCGGTAATCTGGAAGATGGGATGGAGTGCACTCCCAGCAAGTTTACAGATGATACCAAACTGGGGAGAGTAGTAAATATGCTGGAGGGTAGGGCTAGGATTCAGCGGGACCCTGAAAAATCAAAGGATTGGACCAAAAGAAATCTTATAAAGTTCAAGAAGGAGAATTGCAGAGTTTTGCACTTAAGACGGAACAATCCTCTGTGGCAGTACAGGCTGGGGATCAACTGGCTAAGCAGCAGCTCTGCAGAAAAGGACCCGATGGTTACAGTGGACAATAGGCTGAAAACAAGTCAACAGCATGCCCTTGTTGCCAAGAAGGCTAACAGCATACTGGGCTGTGTTAGCTGGGAGCATTGCCAGCAGATCAAGGGAAGTGATTATTCCCCTGTATTTGGCACTGGTGAGGCCGCATCTGGAGTATAATGTCTGGTTTTGGGCCCCCCACTACAGAAGGGATGTGGACAAAATTAGAGTTCAGCAGAGGGCAGAAAAAATGGTTAGGGTGCTGGAGCACACGACTTCTGAGGAGAAGCTGAGGGAACTGGGCTTATTTAGTCTGGAGAAGATACGACGGAGAGGGGATTTAATAACAGCCTTCAACTACCTGAAGGGTAATTCCAGAGAGGATGACGCTAGACTGTTCTCAGTGGTGGCAGGTGATAGAACAAGGAATAATAGTCTCAAATTGCAGCAAGGGAAGATATTAAAAAGAATTTTCTCACTAAGAGGATAGTAAAACACTGGAACAGGTTATCCAGAGAGGTGGTGGAATCTCCATCCTTAGAGGTTTTTAAGACCTGGCTGGGCAAAACCTTGGCTGGGATGATCTAATTGGGGATGGTCCTACCTTGAACAGCGGGTTAGACTAGATGACCTCTTGAGGTCCCTTCCAACACCTAACTTTCTATGATTCTGTATTTAAAATAAAATTTTAATTTTAATTTTGAAGAATTATATGATGGTTTAGTTGAAATAGAATGCATGTTTGCAGTGATCAAGGCTGTAAACAGGTACATTTACCTACTTGCTAAAATAGTCATTCTTATGCGATTATACTGAGACTTTTAAAATGTAAACTGTGGGAGGTCAGTTAGAACTTGCAGTTTTGGGAATGGAATGCTCACGCAGAATTTCTTAACATGTGCTATAGAGATGATTATTCATTGTCTTCTTTTTTAAGTATTGGATAAAAGTTATTTTCATGTCCTCTAAAAGTGCGAGCCAAAACCGATTGTCAGATTTGTGTTTGTAGTGAAATTCTAAACATCTGTTGAATTAGTTTTGTGGTGGTTTTTTTTATTTTAGCATAGCTTAAACTTTATGGTATACTCTCTTCATCTTTTTATAAGTGAAATTTGCAGCTGCAAAGTTCCAGATGTTAAAATTCACTGTTGGTCTTTACCATTTTCTAGAAAACATTACAGTCTGGATACGGTTTCAGATAGATGTTTACAGCTGCACAATCTTGTTTCAGGAAAATAAATGACTGAAAAGTGTTGTTACCTTTTTTGGTAATGTCTTTTCATATGCTGACAGATATTGTGAATGTGTGAAATAAAACTGTTAATCAGTCAAACAAATGCAGCCTAGTTTATTTGTTAAATATCTGTATATTTGTAAATTGTATGTTTTTGTATAAATCTTGTCTTAACCAAATAATTTGATCTCCCAATATTGGAATCACTTTCTATATTAGCAAAATGCTGTTGTGATCATGAGCCAAACATTGTAAGCACCTACCCCAGAATTAGGTGTTGCTTTTAAAATCATTAGTTCTGTCTTACTCATAACCAGTTATATGAATATTGGAAGAAACATCTGTATATAATTGATGGAGGGGGAAAGCTTTTTGGCTTCAGGAAGAGGAACGTTCAGTCAAGCCTGGACAAAACCAACAATTTTCTAAAACATAGCTTTAGACTAAAAGATTTAAGAACAGGAAAAATAGAATGGTATTTAGAAAGGAGTAAATAATAATAAAAAAGAAGTGAATTCTGTTTGTATGCCATTTCAATGCAATCTGACATCTCAGCTGTTTTTTATTCTCATTGTAGAGGCATATGCTCTTCTCCTGGAAGCAGATGAGAAGAATATGGAACTTAACCACGCAGTTTATAGCACAGTTTTTAAGGCATTGCTGTCTCTGGGTGACATTGAAGAGGCCATAAAAGTGAAAACCATGTAAGTTTGTTTTTAATTTTTTGATTTATTTTTAACTTCCCATCTATTTCAGTTAAGTCTCAGCTTCCTCGTGAAAACAGGTTACAATGAGGTTGATTCAGTGAGAAATTGGACCTCTGAAGGCATTTTTGTAGTTACTGGTAGTGCATATCATCAGCCATTATTACTTACTACTTGTGGCTGGCTGGTTCCAGAAGTCCATAGATGAGTCTCAGTACACTATAGTGTTTTTTAGTACCCTAGCATGTCTTTGCAGACTTAGTTGGGTTGGAAGTAAACTTTAAGTTACGTGTTACCATTTCCTTTGACTGATGAATATAACTTTTGTGCCCCAGTATCATCTGCCAGCAAGGGCTATAAGAAACCAGACCTTTTAATAATACAGTATAACCTCATAAATCCAGCATGCTCGAGACTGAGCACCTGCTGGATGTTTGAAAGTGCCAGATTTTTGAAACCCGAGCAGCGGCCGGTTGCGGAGCAGTGGCCACATGCAAAACGACAGTGCAGGGTGGTGGATGGCAGTGGCAGTTGCTGCATGCTAGCTTCCCCCTCTGCGTCTGGGAGAGTAGTGGAGAGCGTCAGCTGATTCCAGATCAGTGCCAGATTTTTGAGAATTCCGGATTTTTGAGATCAGGATTAATGAGGTTATACTGTAATCAAGTAATTTTGGAAAACGGAGTTTTTGAAAATTTTATCCTTTGGTCCAAATGTGTCAGCTGAGTCAGTGGTGGTATCAAGATCCTTCAGTTGGATGGTTTATCAGTCTAGCAATTCATGTAAATAATGAGATTGCTGCCCTTTATATCTGGGGAGTAAACATTGAATAAATCTGGTTCAAAACCTGCTGTAGGTAAATTTGTAGTCAGGAGACCCAAGTTTAAATTTCTCTTTGACAATGGGTAGGAGGCTAACTCATTCTAATAAATTTTACCTCTCGAATTAAGTATGACTAACCATAAAAAAGGATTAAGGAGAATTGAAACCTTCAAAACAGGCACTACTACATTCTTTGGCTACAACAGGAATCCTAAGGAGAGCACAGCACACACATCTAAAAGAACATTGTGAAGTTAACTTGTATATTAATTTACAAAATTAGTTTGTACCTTAAGAGATTTAAGCTTCCTACATTAAGAAGCGCAATTAAAATGTTTCTGAATCAGTTTGATGCAACATCTCAATAGTAACTGTGTCTGTGCATGCCCTATATCAAGGTAAATTTAAGCTCTGTTTAAAAGTATTAAGCAGTTAAGATCTGTTAGGAAAAGGAAATGGAATCCATTTCACCTTGTGTCCAAAGTTCAGCAAAGAACAGAAGTACTTTATAGATGTAAAGATGTATATATTATTTTTAAATTGGAAGTGTACACTTTAAACCCCACCAGCAGTATCTTACTAGAAAAAGAGATTAGTTTGAGAGTTTAAAACTCTGTACTGGAGGCTGGTAGAACAGCCCAAATGTTAGCTGATTTCTTTTAGCATGTAATTAGGAGGAAAAGGCCATAAATTCTAAATGTATTACCAGAGGTTATTTAAAGATCAGAAAATCAGGAAGGAATTGGCAAACTTCTGAGTCATGAGACCTTGCAAAATGTGTTTCTGTCTCCTATTTAAAATAATAGTTAAAAATGTATTGGCACATCTCCGTTGAAATTACATAAATACTGATCAAAGACTCTCAGAATATATAATCATCAAACTGAAAATTATACAAGTTTTAAAATGATGACTAGAAACAAGCTGTTAAATGGGAAAATGGGAATAGGATGTATCCGGTAGTCCATTCTTATTGATCAGTCCTCAAAAGTGAGTACAGCAATAACTGTATGGATTGGAAGCATAATTCAGAACAGCCTGCAATACAGAACTACTGTCTATGGACACACTGTAAAAAGCCCTATTGCTTAACTCTTGCTATCTTCCTTTACAAGCCTTAGATGCTTTTTATTGCAAGTGCTCTAAACTTTTTTTTTTTTTTTGACAAAGCATTTTTAATGCAAGGATTAAGTCCTGATAAATTTAGTATACAGGCTGTAAAAACTATTCTGTACAAGCAAATGTACTTTAAAAATGCCTAGATAATGCATAAACTACAGATTGGAATTGAGGGAATACATAGTGTGTACTGTTAAGAACAAGCAAATTTGTGTATGCTTACAGTTTAGTGTATGTAGGAGTCAGTCTTACCAACCTCATTTACAAAGAGATTGCTCTTGGTAGCCTAAATGTGTGCAGTGGCCTGAAACTTGTTCATCTCCTAATATTTACAGTAAAAGATATGAAAGGTGCTGTCACTTGTTTAGACTACATCTTTTTCTTTTGTACTCTGGTTGAAACCAAATTTGAAATTTAAATAATATTTAGAAAACCTTAAAAGATTTGTATTAGTAGTAGCCTAGGCAGTATAATAAGCATTTTTTTTCCTTACAGAAAAGGATAGATAATATATTTAAATGTATATCTGGTCCAGGATAACAAAGAATGAATATTGCATTTAAAATGTGTATATTCTGGATGCATTCTGATTTGAGATTCTGGGAAAATTCTGGACTTTACTGACTTGGTCAAATCCAAGTCCTATTGTCTCCCAAAACTTATGATCTTAGATACCTTTACTGTATTTAGTCCAAGCATTTTAAACTAGAAATTTAGTAGTATTGGAATGAGGGATTAGTTTTTGTAATAGTGGCTAACATCTATTTAATCACACTAAAGATTGGAAGATTGAAGAAAGTAAATCCTTTGTTATATGTAATTTACTGTCTCATGCTTGAATTGTTGACTTAAGGGCTTTGACAGATGGGGCAAAGAAAAAAGCGGAACTGAGCAATGGGTGTTTAGGCAGGGATTAAGAGGATTGGTTGGGAGAGTAAGAAAATCCTGAGTCCAGTGACTGCATTTATGCACCCTGGAGGCTGTAAGTGACTGAGAGGATAGTCATATTGTGTACTCTCTGAAGGATTTTCTTGGGATTGATGAGAATAATTTAGCAATGACCCTGCTTACCTCTCAATCCGCTCAGCACATAAGTTCAAGTAGGTAGGCTGCTCAGTTGTTTGCCACAAGATGATCAGTGAGGTTTATCTTGATTGCTGATATGGCAAATGGCAATGTCCCTTTTTCACTAGTGGAGATTTGGTAATCTAAAAATGAACCTTTATAAAGTTATCTTGATATATTAAAACTGTGTCTAAATTTCATCAGGAATTAGGGCATTCTGTAAAAATAGATGCAATTGCTGGTTAGTCTATCTGAAAGCATACACATTACTTTTCCAGAAAAGCTTTAACAATATTATTAAAGCAAAGTTCTTTCACTGTAGACATGGGACGTTTTTGCATTACAGGAGGTGCAGAATTGATAGGTGAAGTTTAATTTTAACATGGCAAAGGAAGATGATTTAGTATGTTCAGTTTAAAAACTGTATACATCTAGATGACAGAAATCTGAAAATTAATCAACCAAATGATATGGTGTTAGTTCATAATATGCTTTAGTTTATATTTAAAATATACAGTGCTGAAAATAAATGTTTCATTTTTATTGCTGAAAGAATAGTTTTACATTTTATAATTATGGTGACTGTTGAAAAAAGGAGAAAAAGTATCCAGCTTAGGATACAACAGAACAATGCAGGGCATGCAGTTATTTTAGTCATCTAATATGTCAGCATTCAAGAATCTAAACCGATTGTTTAAAAAAAATCTTTTACTTTGTTTCTTTTGTTGCTCATTTCCAACTTTGTCATCTGTCAGAATGAAAAAAAAAATTATCCTTCTATAACCATTGACAGGATAACACAAAAGCTGTCTCCAGGTCGATATTTTGCAGCAATATTTTTAACATACGAACAGTAGTTTTTATAATTTCACCTTGGTGCTCAACCATTTATTATCGTATCAGAAGCATGTCAGTAATTCCTTTCTAAATGTCTGCTTCTTTTAGCGCTGAGACCCACATCAAGAGCTTCAAGCTGAACACTACTGCCAGCAGCCGCCTCATCATAGCGCAAGTTAGGCGGGATTATTTGAAAGGTATGTCACAATGCTTGACCTTTACGTCACATTAATGCCTCTGCAGATTTTTCTTGTAACGCCCTTCGAATACTTGGATAAAGGAGTCCATTTAGCAAATTACCTGCTTATCAAGAGCCTTTTGTGGTAGCTGAGAGACGTAAATTACTGTACATGCATTTATAATACAGCTTGAATATGAATGTACTTGTCATTTGACCACTTAGTCCAGTTTCCATTCCATTTAACACAAGATGGGTTTTCTTAAGATGAATCACAGCTCTTCAGACATGCAAAATTTGTGCTCCAGAACGAGAGAAAGTACAGGCTTTCAAGTGCGTTAAAATTCACAGCACAAGTCATTTTGCTTTGGAAATTAACATACTTTAGAGCATCTGAAACAATTCCCAGCAGTTGCTTCTTGCATTCTTGTTGGTTGTATGAGATACCAAATGAGTTAAATTGAGTGTTAAATGTGCATGATTGTGCACCAAATGATTATAATATTGATTTAAAAACCTAATCAAATACTTTTTAATAGTTCACAATACCAACAGTAATAAAATATGCATTGTGTTTTTCTTTCCTTTTTAATTTAATGTTTATAAGATAACAACAAAAATGGTGGCTGAAGGACACACAAGTGAAACAAGATGGTGGACAATTTAATCACTGTACCACTTTCAGATCTTCAGTATTAATTGTTTGTCACATTTAGTTTTGTGGTATTCAGATAACTGAAAGTTGCTGATGCATCAAAACAGAACAATTTAACTAAATTTAAAGCTTTTCAATGTTTTTCTAAGCATATGGCTACTAAGAAGTACTAGTATGATGCTAATAGAAAATATGTATGTAGTTTCAGTAGTATTCTAAAACACCCAAACTAAATACAAACAAATATTTAAATAAGACTTGTTTTATTTTAATCTGAAAAGCTGGGAAACTCAGATTTGCACCTGCTATTCCATCCTTAGTGTTATTCATTCCATTGTGTATTCATTTTCTACCACACATCCAAGTTACAGCATCCATATTAAAATGCTTCTACAGTAACTTAAATATGTTATTTCATAACAAGGTTTCCACTAGCTTTCAAATCATTTTTCATTTGGTATTGTTTGTAACACTTTCTCTGATGTTCCTTCCAGGTGTCCAATCATCAGTTCAAAATCAACATGTTGAAATGGCACTTATCTTCTTCCCTATCTTTTAGTACTTCTTTTATTTGTTGACAGTTCTTCATCTGTAGTCACCCAAGTCTTCAAATCTTGCCTTCTGTATTTCTCAATCTGGCATGTTACTAAATTTTGTTCATTCTTCCTTTTTTGTAATCCTGCTACTGAAAGCTAGGTGCAATTTACAGTTTAAAATACTGTTTTTGTACAGCCTTGCAAAAAACAAGGCTTGGTACATTGGTTACAACTTTCAGGGTTGGTGATCACTTTGAGTATGCTTGAAAATTTTCATGGATCACAGATGGCAGAGGTCATTTCTTTTTGTGAACTTTCTGTTGCAGATTTCCAATCTGATTTACTTTCTGGATATGGTTTCAAAATTTAAACATAAAAGTAAATTTGCTAAACACCTATTTCATGAATAGAATTACGTGTACCTCATGGTCTTTTACTTCTTATCAGTCTTACTTCCTTTACCTCTTCCCACCCTTTGTTTTCTGTTTTTAAAATGCCATGTGAATCTGTAATAAATATTTGCATATTTGGGGGAGCCTTAAAATGTATGATTTGCTTCTAGCAACAGCACCCTTTAGTAAAAACAAAGTCATGTTGGATTAAAAAACAGTACAAGAGCTTCCTTTTGTGCAAGTGCAGGTTGTAGAGAAAATGAAACTATGAGATTAAGGTAAGATATTAAAATACCACTTGGGGTTTCTAAAGAGAGAGAGTACACGTGCCTGCACTCCTGAATATTGAATACTCAACCAAGACCTGAAATTAGAAATGCAGTCAATGTTAGTACGTTTCTTCAGGGTTAGCCACCAGAATCTCCGTACAGAATACTTACGTTGTCACGTAGCAGCATTTCAAAATTTGTGCAATTTTGGACTCTTTCTATCATGTCCTGTATTTGAGTAAGTCAGTAAAGCAACATCTGATCAGTTAAAGAACTATGCAGTGCTGGCAAGGAGGAGGCAAAATGTAAAATAGCATGCAGTTCAGTTTAGCTTTCAAGAACCTTGTCCCTTAAATCTTTGTTTATGATTTTCCGAACAAAAAGGAAAATGAAATGGGAAGAGGGCTTCCTGTGGAGATTAGGCATACAACACTGTATGTTTGTCCTTCCTTTACAAGAGATAGTGTTTGGGTTGTGGGAAGACTACTATCTATACAGTAAACCTAAATGTTAATGCTTCAGAGTTCAAGTGGGTGCCTATTATATTGAAAGTATTACCCCTTGGTGGTATTTGTGACTAATCCTGCCTGTGGTGGTAAGGAGTGAGAGGTTTTTACCAGAGCGACATATCATTATGATTTTTCTTATGTATAATGTAAATTGACAAGATTTATAATTTATAAAAATTAAAATGGCTATAGCTGGAATGTGTGTGTGCAAGGGTGGTGGGTTGGTTCATTTGTTTTTGCAGTTGATTATTAATTTATTATTGAAGACCAAAGATTTTGATTTTCAAAATGGTCTGTTGATGTGGTCAATTGCTATCTATCATTTTTAGGTAGCTGTTGCAGTAGCTGTCCAGTTTAGACTCATAACTATGAGATGGCTGCTTCATTTTTTACACTCTTGTGTACACTGATCCACATATTTGATAAATCTGATCCATAATATTTGATACATCTTTGTATAGCCTGTTAAAAATGTGATTCTTGGACTCAAGCAAGTTCCCACCTGTGATGCTCTTCATTTTATCTCTGCAAGGGTATGCAATATCTGTTAAGCAAGTTCATATTCTAGCAAAGACTGGTTACAACTTGTTTTTGAAAAGCAGGTTGAAAATTGTATAGGTATAATGCTTAATTTATAATGTTGTTTTCCTTGGACTTGATGTCTAGAAAATACAATGTTGGTATCTTGTCAGGAATTTTTACTAAAGTTCCCAGGGTCTTTATTCTTTATTTATGTACACATTTTAACTTTAGCAGGTTTAGTGAGAGACTGCAGTTAGTGTGCTTGGGTGTATTTGTGGTTTTACTACAATATCAACCTTACATGCTTTTATTAAAAAACAAATTGCAGTAGGATCTTTTTCTAAACTGACATCTTAATTTTTTCTCCCATTTTCATCCCAACTAGATGCTATAGAATCTCTAGAATTAGCCCTTCAAAAGAATGTGTTTCCTCCCCGAAGCACTGTTTATATGCTCGTCTGGACTCTGGCTAAGAAAGGAGATGTGAAGGGCATACATACAGTTGAGAAGATGGTGAAACCTCTGGCAGGTTCACTTTTTTTACATCCTATGCTTTTCATCAACAGCACTTTAATAGCTCACATCATGAAGTAAGTCCTTGTATAAAAGAAATAAAGCAATCTTACAGGGGGAGAAGGCATGTTGTTGCTGTTGTACACACTGAAGTACAAACGTTGTTTCCCTTCATTGAAGTTGAATGGATGTTAGAAATCTGGCCAAATTGGCTGCTGTTCAGGTTTCTTTTGCACAATGGAAGCTGGAGATCTTTAAAGAAACATAAATGAGAATTGATACTGGTTGGGAGAACTTTGAGAACTGGTTGGGGAAAAAAGTCTGTGTACTTAGCCAGCTCTGTCTGTCTAAATTCATCAAGTAATTTTAGATGGCCATGATTTGTCTCAGCTGTTTTGCATAGTGCTACAGTGCTCCAGTTAGGGATCGATCCAAAAGCCCTTGAATTCTGCATACTGACTTAGGGAATAAATCAGCGACTCTCTTGCCCATTGTAGGTCATATGCATTATGCAGTTTATGTATGCACCTGGACAAATGCACATGTGCAGATGAATGGCAAATTTATTGGCATGTACAGTCCCAGTTGTAGATTATATTAGATTGGCCATTCCAGGTATTGTAATAAAAATAGCAGGGTTGCATGTAAATAAATTGTTTTAAGTTTTGCTATTGACCTGTTTTTCATTAATGTGAAATCTTCAGAAAGAGTA